CCATAACTGATGGGATTAAAAGTTCTTTATTTCAATATTTAATTTTAGTCACATATTTATTTTAGTTTGTATCAGAAAAATTTGTCATACCAAACGTAGGATTTCTTGGTGATATTAAAATTTCTATTAAAGCAAGTTTACATCTAAGTTAAAATTTTAGTTATTCTAAAGGAAATTATTGAGTAAATAACACTACCGGTGATAAATGTATTATACAGTGTATCCTCTGGACTCATAGTGACCCCACAGAGATAAACCTGCGATGACTGAACAGTGCGAAAACTACTGTCAAAGCTATGGGCAGGGTGCTCTGGGCTTGCAGAGAAGAGGTGCAGACATAAACTTGGCGGTAGTGGGAAGATGAGGAAATGCTTCCTGGGACTGAGTATTGAGGACTGGTAGGCATGAGGTGATTGCACAATAAGATTTGTTTAGGAGGGAAGGGCAGTTGGGTATGACTGGCTTCTAGCTTGTGTGTCATGGAGTGACTGGAGAGAAAAGCAGGCATAGCATCAAAAAAGGCCTTCTATGCTTATAGTAGGGAGGTTGGACTTTATTCTGAAGACGAAGGGAAGCTATTGAACAGTTTTAAGCAGTAAAATGGTATGATCAGAGTTTTAGAGGATGCTAAGATTGACCAGTTAGACTGCTTTTTAAGTTAGTTCAGGAGAGAAAAGATGAAGGTACAACTAAGGCAAGTGGCACTGGGCATCAAGAAGTGTATGTGTGCTAATTTTAGATTTCTCAGGGAAGCAGAAATGACAGGACTTAGTGGTCAGTTGGATAGAAATGTTGGAGTCTGGGGAGTCTAGACTGACTTCCAGGTTTTTGGTTTGGGTAACCAGGTGGCATGTAGACCAATTAACTAATAAACAGCATACAGAAAGAGGAAAGAACTTGGTTTCATTTGTTTGTTTTTGAGGAAAAAGATGTTTGTATTTGAACTTACTGAATCTGAGGGGCTTGTGGGACATCTTGGTTAAGATCCAGTAGTAGTTGATAAGAAGGTTCTAGAAGTCAAGAGATGCAACCCAACCTGGGGAGATTTGGGAGTCTTCAGCATTTGGAAGTTTGGAAGTCATTGTTTCCTATAGTGCAATATGAGATAATTTAAAATGGTACATAGATAAACACTTGAAAAATTTTTAATAGGTAAGAATTTAATGTGTATGAAAAACATAACTTGCACATCAAACCTATGATATCATGAACATTATCACTTAGGCCAAGTGAGCTCAATAAAAGGGAAATATTAAGTAAAAATACATGTAACATGTGGAAATGGCAAAAATCATGGTGAAGCTGTGCAAATGATGGAAGTTCAGAAAGTGCTGTCTTAAGCCATGGGTGTGGTGGATGAGGTCACCCAAGGAGAGAGTAAGAGTGAAAAGAAAAGAGAGTTGACATTTGGGTGGCGGGGAATGGAGAAGAAGAGCCCATGAAGGAGACTGAGGAAGAGCAGCCAGACGAATAGGAGGAGAACCAGGAGAAGATGGTCTTTGGAGTCCAAATGAAGAGTTCTGAGGAGGAAGTGGTCCACAGTGTCAAGTAAGTTGTAAGCCAAAAAGTGCTCTTTGGATTTAGCAATTAAGGTAGACAACTTAGATGGAAGCATCTAAACAGTGGATTTTAAAAAAATACTCACTTAGTATTAATGTTAATGATAGCTGGTATTTGCAGTATATTCCTATGCCCAGGTACTCTTGTAAGCACTTTACATGTGTTAACTAATTAATCAGGTAGGAGGTATTGTTATCCCCATTTCACATGTGAGGAAACGGAAGCACAGAGAGGTTAAGTAACTTGCATAAGATCACCTGGGAGAGCCAGGATTTAAGGCCAGACATTCTTGGCTGGAGTCCATTCTCTTAACCAAATTGCCACATTGCCTCTCTGGTTAAAACAAAACAGAAAATAAAAATCACACCAGTGTCGTAATTACAGTACAATTGGTGCTGTGTATTGTATCAAGTGAGATCTGTCAGGCTTGAATGACCAGCGTCATGTCATGATGGCTTCAGTCTGCCAGGTATGAGCACGTTAATTGTATTGTAATTGACGCCATGATGTGTAGGCTGAGACAGTTCTTGGCTCTTTCTGTATTTATATATCAAAAAAGTTTATAAGACAAGTGAGTTTAAAAGTGTATATATTTCCTAGGGTAGCATATGTCCCACATTATGTGCCATACTTTGGGTGCTCCAGTGTCTTATTTTTTTCTGGTCATTGTTCACTTTTGGAGTTAAATTTTTTAAACTCTATAAATATTGTTCATGCAGAACAGGTCAGGTTGTAGACATAGATAACCAGTCTATTGTAGAAGGTCATTAATGATCTTATTGAAAGCAGTTTCCCTTGAATGGTAGAAGTGGAAACCAAATTGCAAGGAAACTTAAAGTGGATGAGAATAGAGGATTCGGATGAGAGAAAAAGGAAGAGTTCCTGATGAGGTTGAGGAATGGCTGTGGTAGGAGACAGGGAAGACATGAGCCGTAATGACCCTTGGCTGTGGTCAGAGGGGAGCTGAACAGAGTGAAAGATTTAAAAACTGGTTTAGACCTGGGCAGTGATCTGAGGTGTGGCCGTGGCAAGGAAGAGCCTAGTGAGGTGGGTGGTGAAGTTCATGTTAGTTGAAGAGGTATTATCTGCATGGGCCTTTTTATGTGGCTAGAATTGATGGTGGGATTTGGAGGAAAGAGAACACTGTGAGCTAGTTGCCAGTGTTCTTGAAACATGACAGTAACCAAGAGGTAAACAGGTGGCAGTGATGGGAAAGTAGATGTAGTGAAATAGAGTGTTTGAGAGAAGAGACTATGGAATCAGAGGACTGGGTTTGAATCCTTCCTAGCTTGATGACCTTGAGCAAATTATTTAATTTTACTGAGAATGTTTTCCATCTGTACAGCGGAGATGATGATAATTGGTCCTGCCAAGAAGAATTGCTGTGAAGATTAATGAGATGATGCATGTGAAACATTTGGTGCAGTATGTGACACATAGTACAAAGAGTTTGCTAGGAAGATTGTTACTGTTTTCACTTCTGACATTGTGGAATTTTTATATAGCAAATTGGATGGATTGATTAAAGAAATAGATTTATATTTCAAGGACTGATGGTGGTCTTGCTTAGGAAAAAAGAAACTTGATTTGTCCCAATAATGGGATATAGTGGTGACGTGAAGAGGTATAAGGAAAGAAGTTAATGATGTGCTGGTGATGACAGGAAGAGAAGGCCATTATTTGGGCAAGAGATAGAAGTAATAAATGCTGTATTTTTCAGTGATGTTTAGGTTTTGATAGCTATAAAAATCCCTATTATTGAACTTTCTGCAGGGAAAAAAAAACCTTAGTCTGAAACTTCAGCCCTAATTCCCCTTTTCTTCCATTGAAGTATTTATAAAACATGGCTTTTGATAATGGGAATGGTTTTTCCCCTTTGTAATCTAGCAGTGCTGTGTGTTGCAGTAGTTGTGAGGTGTTAGGGAGCAGGAATTGTTAGGAGGATGGAAGGTCTGGATGTGGCCTTGGGGAGTTAGAGAGCGACAGACTCACCCTGTACCGCTTAGCCTCGCTCCTTTGCCCAAGACAGAAACACGCTGAAAGATGGACAATAGAATATCAGCAGCTGATAGGAAACGATTTCTCAGTGGAGTCAAGATTTAGTTCAGGACAGGAGAATGAGAATATAGTAGAGTTTGTGTATGATGAAGTGGCACATTACACAGTGCAGTAGATGTAGGTGGGGTACAAGCGCAGCAGTGGGAAGATGTTTTTTCTTCATTCAGCAGTTATTTGAGGGCTTACCATATGCTAAGCATGTACAAAAATAAGATGCCCTTAATTATCTTCCATCTAAAGGAGACATGTTAAACAGGTTAACTTAGAGTAGAGATGGTGAATATATGAACCTAAGGAAAAGAAGAAATAGATTAAACTATTTGGGGAGAGTCAGGGGAAAAGGAACAGCAGAATGGGGATGAGAATCTTCCAGAGCTCAGTGTTCTGATTGAAGTTACTTCCTTGGGGCATAGCTTCCAGGTATTTTTCTAATAAGCCATAAAAGCCAGGAAAACTGCTTCTCAGATCATCTCAAATGATTTAATTATTGATTGGGGTTGTATTGTTTCCTTAGGATCGTGTACCATGGACGATTTTGCCGAGGAGGATTTCGCTGTAACAGATTATGCCTTGTTAGAAGATTGCCCTTATGTGGATGATTGTGTCTTTGCTCCTGAATTTATGACTGATGATTATGTTCGTGTGACCCAGCTTTACTATAATGGGGTGGTAAGTAGGTTTTTTAATTTTTTGTTTTTGACATTATGTCTTAAAGGTTTTCTGGTTTAGAGCTTTCTTAGTTAAGATGTTTTGTGGCACATTGGTTTTGACATGGAGGTACACATGCTTTAAGAGGTGGTTTCAGAAGGGAAGGTAACAGTGACTCTACAATAAGAATGTGATTGCCAGAGAATGAGTGATAGTGAAAAGTGGTTTTCTGACTGGGGGTTAGAAAAGCTCTTAGCAAGAGCCATAGAATCAAATTCAGGAAATACTATGAGAAAGGCCTTAAGTTAAGACTCACTGGCTGAAGATATGTTCAGAGCGTAAATGTACACTGAAAGTTTTCAGTTTATTTCCAATAATCCTTAGATTAAAGATCAAGAACTGTACTTTTGTATTTTACCAGATACAAATCAAAAGAATTTTCTTCTTTCTAGGGTATGCAGTATAAAGATTATGTCCAAAGTGAGAGAAATTCAGGTGAGTACATTGGTGTTTTAATGTCAGTTTATTGAAAAGCTATAAAGGGATGTCCATCCATCTAGTCATATCAACATATAACAGATTTATATATCTTTTAAAAATGTATTCCTACTATTTTTTTCACTAGAAACCAAAATTTTCTTGTTAAAATAGAGTTTTAGCCAACACTTAAATATTTTTAACATCTAACAGGTTAAAATATTTCCTCCATTCATTTCTTTCCATATCCATTTTTACCTTGTTACTATTAGTAGCATTGATTCATTCCAAAATGAGGTACAGATATTAATTTTAAACTTTTTTTTTAAATTAAGAATTTGACATCTGCAGTATATGGTGTAATAAACCAATTTCTCTCCTGCAAGATTATTGTGATGCCATTAAAATAAACATATTCTGGCCACTTCTGTTTCAACATCAGAATAGTTCTGTAATATCACGATTGCATCCCTGTCTGGAAGCCAAGTAAGTTACTGTACGTTATTCATTTTGTATGAACAGTGAGAAGCATGTTGCCCAGTCCTGACGAATGCCAAGTACAATGGAAGGCTTATGTCTCATTCTTGTTCAATTTTACTTTTGTTTGGTAGAAAGAGAAATACTTGGGATTTGCATATGAGTGAATAACTGTAACATTATAATCCATGAAATTCTGAATAGTATTAGATGGTAGACTTGAAGCTGAGTCAGGAAGCATTGTTTGTTTATAAATATTGGTATTATAGAAGAGATAAAAATATATAGTACTTTGTCCACTTAATAAATAGCTTAGTTATTGTCCTAGAGTGAAGAAAAAGATGACTTAATTTTTTTCAATAGTTTGAGATACAATATATAGTTCAGCATAAAGTTCAATGAATTTGTATATATGAGAACCTAATCTTTCAAAAAATAAATTTGTCTTTAAGCAATTCTCGTGCTTCTGAGATAAGTTTGAAGAAATTACAGCATCTTGAGTTGATGGAAGATATTGTGGATTTGGCAAAGAAAGTTGCTGTAAGTGGTAGAATGTAGGTTTTTTTTACCCCTATTTAAAGAATATAAATATTTATGTGGTGTTAGGTCCATATTACTAGTTTATAGCAGTTAACAGGTAATGGTTTTAGTTTTGGTTAACCTGAGATGATTCTGCCATCCATGAGTGTGTGCTCAGTATTCGAGAGGTAGGGAGATGGCTGCTGTTATGGTTCTGACATGCCATGTTGGGGACCAGAACTGCTGCTTGTCATTACAGGATAGGAGTTGGAATTCGTCACACATCAAAGTGGGCCCTGGTCCATAGAAACCTTTGTCACAGGTTCTGAAAGTGATGAGCTCTATCTGTTGACATAAAAACACACCATCTCAACAAATATTTTTGTCTTTGGGGTAGGGGCAGACTTTACCAGGGCAGATTTGAAGAGGTGTCCTTGTACTATGTTGAGGGTTTTTTTTATTATTCTTTTT